CAAAAGCATAGATAGTATTATAATGGAATTAAGACATCTGAATTTTCAGCAGGCCACATAAAAAAGTACTCTGATTTAATTCTTACGAAAATTAGTGACCAATAAAGACTATGTCTCAACGGCGGAATATAAAGTGAAGATGAAAAAATCTTGACTTAAAGAATATCCTTTAAGAATTCTTGTTCAGCACAGTGAGCTAGTATACGGGCTTTATAGACTCATGTTTTAAAAGCTTTATTCATAAATATAATGTGTCACTTATTTCTTGAGGACAGAGATGAATGAATTAATACCTATTTTAAAACTTTACTAACAAGCCATCAGAAAATAAATGTCAATCCTCATTTTTATTCAATTTTAAGAGTTATTTGCACTACTGTATAGTGGCGTGATCAAAGTTTGAACGACTGGGCATCGAAATACTCTCGAATTTTCGATAACTGCCAGTTTCATGAGCTTAGCAACCCTCGCTAGCTTAGTTGAGTAAAAAGCATTATTATATGAATCGGTCCTTGTAATAGCTAGCTCAGTTATCCTCCTTGCATACCTGCCACCAGTTATGATCGTCTTTGCTGATAATCTGCAGAATATCACCAATATGAAAACGTACGCCGGCCTGAGAACAAGGAATCAAATCATCGACATCAGGTTTATAGTCGAACATTGCTCGGACATATATCTAAAAATAAAGGAGCTTTCAGGCAAATTTACTGGAGTCACCAAGGAATATGAATTCAAATGCTTACTTCACATTGTATAGGGTTGTTACGGTAGCTAGGAACAATCTTTAAACTGACGCTTCCACGAGCTTCGCGCTAGGCCAATAAGATAAGAATGTTTATGAAGCAAAGTTTATAACCACTAGAAAGCCAGTAAATTAATTTGTGTGTATAAAACCTATTCAAGCTAAAATTACCAAAACTCTTTGTAGATATTCAATTGACTGTCCTGCTACCGGCTCAGAATTAATTTCTCTCAACTCGTCTCCGACATGAAGAGTACCTATAAATACATTTAGATATATAGAGGTTGCAAATATCGGAGAAAAACATAATTCAAGCAAAATAAGTAAATTTAGATTATTGAGCATAATAGCACAGCTGTCAAAAGA